CCCCCCCTTCCCAAGCACGCAGCAGCAAATGGAAAAGTAACTGAGGGCAAACATCGGAGCAGGTGCACGGAAACAAAGATGTCTTTACCTGCAGTTGTAGGTCCTGATCTCCTTGTTATCCCTTTTGCACTTGACTGCCACGAAGATCATGGTGACAAAAAGAATGGCCGCGATAGACCCCAGGGCAATAATGAAAATCAAGGAGAGATTAACAGATCCTATGGACTCCTGGGCATCCAGGGCTGGAGACAGGTATATCAAAATCAAGGCAGAAGCTGAGAGAGAGGTTTTTCCGTGGTCGTGAGCCACCACGATCAGCTCGTAGGCTGTCTTTGCATTCTCCCCAAAGGCTCTGGTGGTCCTTATCTCTCCATTGACCTGGTCTATCTCAAAAAATCCTCTGTCTCCTTCCACCATTTCGTAGGACAGTCTGCCATTTTCACCCTCATCATAGTCATCTGCCTTGACCACTGTGACCAGGTAGCCGACCCCGGCGTTCCGGGGGATGTACACCTCTGCGGTCCCGTTGACCAGCGGCGGGGCCGTGATCACAGGAGTGTTGTCATTGACATCCAGGACAATCACCCTGACAGTGGCATTGCTCTGCAGAGAGGGATTACCCCCATCTTTTGCCAGGACCTTGAACTCAAAGGCCTTCGTCTGTTCATGATTGAAGGACCTCAAAGCATAGATATCTCCAGAGTTGGGGTTGATGGAGACATAGGTGAAGACAGGCATGTCTCTCACTTGGGAGGGCACAATCTGGTAGGAGACGCTGCCATTGAGGCCCAGGTCAGGGTCCCTGGCCGACACGGAGAGAAGGTAGGCCCCCGGGGTGTTGTTCTCCTGCACAATGACCTGGTAGTAGGGCTTGGAGAAGTGAGGATGGTTGTCATTCTCATCAGTGATCTTGACCGTGAAGGACTTGGTGGCCTGCAGGGAGGGGACGCCGTTGTCCTTGGCCTGAATAGTGAGGTTGTACTGGTCCCTCTGCTCCCGGTCCAGCCGCCCATCCACCAGGATGGTGGAGAAGCTCTCGTACTCCTGGAGCCGGAAAGGCACGTTGCCCAGGAGCTTACACTGCACCCGCCCGTTGGCGCCGGAGTCGCGGTCCGAGACCCGCACCAGGGCGATGACGTACCCCGGCGGGGCGTTCTCGCTCACCTCCACCAGCTCGCTGTTGACTGACAGCAGGTTGATGAGGGGCGGATTGTCGTTGGCATCCTGGACGCTGATGGTCACTTTGCAATGAGCAGGGATGGAGTTAGGCCCCAAGTCCTTGGCCTGCACATCCAGCTCATAGACGTGACCCTCCTCGTAGTCGATGGCACCGCTCACTGTGATAAGGCCGCTCTGGGGGTCGATTTGGAAGAGCTCCCGGGCCCGCTCGGAGACATAGCTATGGAAAGAGTAGAGGACCTGGCCGTTGGTGCCCTCATCCGGGTCGGAGGCGTTGAGGCGGATGACCGGCGTGCCCGGCGGGGCGTTCTCGGGCACGCTGATGGTGTAGGCCGGCTCCGCGAAGAGCGGGTTGTTGTCATTGGAGTCGATGACGCGGATGCTGAGCTCCACGGTGCCGAAGTTGGGCGGGTCACCGCCATCCAGGGCCGTGATCACGTAGCTGTAGTGGGACTGGGTTTCACGATCCAGGCTCTTCTCCACCACCAGCTCAGCAAAGCGGGACCCGTCGCCTCGTGTCTTGGTCTCCAGCCCAAAGAGGTCATTAGGGGTGATCTCATAGCTCTGCACACCAAAGCTGCCCGAGTCCGGGTCATAGGCACTCTCCAGTGGCACCCGGGTGCCAGGGCTGGCTGTCTCCGAGATTTCCAGCTCGATCTGGTCCGTGGGGAAGCTGGGCGCGTTGTCGTTGAGGTCCTTGATCTCCAGCTTGATCACGCAGATCTCCATGGAGCTGGACATCACCTCCAGCGAGATGACGCACTTGGGGCTCTGCCGGCACAGCAGGTCCCGGTCGATCTTCTGCTTGGTCACCAGCAGCCCCGACCCGGGGCTGATGTCCACCAGGTGGGGGGCCGAGTTGGAGACCACCCGGAAGGCAGCGGGTTGCCGGGGGTCCAGCACGAAACCGGCGTCCCGGGCGTCCTTGGCGACGTTGGCGATCACGGTGCCGGCCCGCTGCTCCTCCTCCACC